AAATAAATATAAATGGACTGCATAACAAAATCTTCTCCACTAGTAGCAAGGATTAAAGAATTTATACTGTAAGGCTGCTAGGACTTTCACTTAATTTCTCAGGGCAACGAGGTATGGACAACCCTAAAAACTGGGAGATAAAGTGGTAGCTATGCATTCTTGGCTTCTCTACTCCAGAGGTAATATTCTGAAAGCTAATCTAAAAAGAAATGACTTTCAGTCAATGCTAAGAAAAAACAAACCGATATCCATGCAATGCCATGCAGACACACAGCTTCCACTCAGTGCAGACGGGGTGGGAGCTGGCTCAGAGAGCCTCTGCCACCACCCAAAGGACACATTAGTGCAAGCCCACCCACCTGTAGAAGAGAAAGCTATCAGAAGCCCAAGGACCTAGGGTGCACTGGACTGGCACTGCAGAATTTAGTTAGTTTAGCTCTAGCTAGAGTCCAGACGCTGCCCAGAAGCTTTGGGTTTGTGTCTTAATTGAGGGATCGCCTTTGGCACAGGCACTGAGTGTTGCCAGCCACAGGGGGATCTGAGCATCAACTCCGGCAAAAACAGTCAAAAGACAAAAGAGTATTTTTGCTGCATCTGAGCTATGCCAGCGATGGTGCCAGTGACATCCTGCCGCGTCATGCTCTGCATGTTGTTGAAAACAAACATTCTGAAATTCTGTCTCTTAAAAACAGAAAATGTAGACGAGAGGATCATAATGCTATTCTCCCTATTTTGGGAAATATTTAAAATTTCCCATAATGTTCTCAAGAAATTTTCCATGATAAGTTTTAGAAATATATAAGCCACAGTTTTATATTTCAGGACTTTTATTCCAAGGTAATCGGGACATGAAAAAGAAAGCAAGATTATCAAGATTGTCTTGTTGAAGGGAAAATACCAAAATACCAACAACAATAGATTTAAAGATAGATTTCATCCCACCCAGTATAGAGTGACTCAATGTCACCAAAAGCATACTCTTCTCTATGGATTGTTACACATTTATGGAAATTACTTGCACCTTTGGAATATATTATTTTTGTTTTTCATCTCTAAAATACTTTAGATAGACACGATGTTTTTCTTCTACATCTTTATGTGTTTAAAACTTTATACAGACATTCCTTGGCACCCTGAAATACCACAATCCAAGCCTATCTTATTCCCGTTAGCTGACCCTTTATGACCCCAAAGGGACAAAGTAGAATTTCCCTCTATTTCAAAACAAGCAACTATTTCAGCAAAACAAACAAAGGTCTTTTCTCTGTATACATTTTATAGAGGAATATATAAATGCTTGCTACTTATATTTTTTTCTATTAACTCCCTCATCATGTTTTTATCATTGATATACTCTGCCAATTGTATTTGTAAAAATGTATTTTTTAAAGTTGTATCTATTTTTTTTTTTAATTTTCTTCCCTCATCGCAACCCAAAGTACTTCCTCTCACCTCAATAAACTCTACTGGAACAGCTCTTTTGGATACTTTTTATAGTTATCTAGGCAGACAGAAATGAAAACCCTCTTCTTTCCAAGCCTTTTCCACAGTCCCCTGTGCTCAGATCTTTCTTTTCTTGAAGCCACGTCCTCTCTGTCTTCTCCCTTTGTCTCTCCATCCCTCCAAAGCCACACCTTCCCATGCCGTTCCCCTACTTAGGGAACAGCTTTCTCTCTCTCCCATATTTCATTACATCTAAATGTCTGCCTGGTTCCCAAGGTCCGCTAATATCAGAATCATCAACACCTGTCCAATCACATCACCCCAGGTGCTCAGGGGGACCCACCACTTGCGGTGGGAGAACATCACATTCCACACCCACCTAGACTTTAGAGCTTTGTCCTTCATGAACTGCCTCCCTCCCTTCTACCCAACAATTCCACCCAATTTGCAAAAGCCAGAAGGGCTCAGATCCAAAGAACAAGACTCTGGAAAGGAGGCTGGACATAGGACAATTTTCATACCAGTGTATTTCAATACTATTGGAATATTACCGTCTGCAATCTGGTGGGGCTGGTCTATAATTTGGTAGGGAGAACTTGCAGAAATTCACAAAAAGAATTCCAGTGACTATGTAAAAAACTTTAAAGGGCAGGAAAACACATAACCTCTTGAATCATGAAGACTGAGAGTTTTGGCAACTAAGTTATTAAAATAAATATTTTTACCATTTATAAATTTGTCAAGTAGGCCTTCTTTAACAATACACAAAGAGAAACAAAAATATGGAAGTCCCAAATGAATACACAGTAGAGAGAGAAAAGATGAGTGTACCCCCAAAACGTCTCTTTTGCAGTGCAGGACCCTTGGTTCCGTGGGCCATATATTTGATGTGGTCTAAGACACGAGCCCATATTTGGCTACAATGAGTACACAGTCTAGACTGTGGCTCCTGAAAGGAAATGTCTGTGTCTAAATTATTTGTGAATTTCCAATGACCTAGACAGTGCCTAGCACAAAGAAAATACTCAATAAATAGTTGCTTAATAAAGAGGGGCTTATTTTGAACCTTGGATCCTAGATTTAAAAAAAAACAAACTATAGATAAAGATATTTGGGATTTATTTATAAACTCATTATTACACATGAAGTTTAATGCAAACAATAAGAGAAAAATTCTTTTTTCTTTTTAGTCATTGGTGGAGTTAATTATCTGGAAATGTTGTGATTCACCTAATTTAAATTTTCCGTTTACCTTTCCAATCTAACAAAATCACTTTCCTTTTAGGGCAGAGGTTAGCACATTGCTTCAGAGAGCCAAATCTGGCCCACTATCTATTTTGGTCAATAAAGTTTTATTGCAAAATAGTCACATCCATCCATGTATGTATTGTCCATAGCTGCTTTTGCCTTTTACTACAAAGGCAGAGTTGAGTATGTGTGACAGAGAATTGACCGACAAGCCTAACATATGTGCTCTCTGGCCCTTTACAGGAAAAGTTCGCTAACTCCTGCTTTAATCATGTAATACTGAATATCCAATAAAAGGTGTTTTTTAAAAAATATCTCAGAAAATTTACTGAGCTAAAGATATTTTCAAGGGAATCAAATATACTGTTTACTTCTGGTCATTATGGTTTTATTTGTATTCTCAAAATTGAAATCTATCAGAGACATACGTCAAAAAAAATGAAGCCTAAAAATAAGGAAAAATTTCCTTGCACACCTAATTTATGCCATGACATACTTATAGCCTCTGAGAGCCTGAAAGAGCAGAATAAATTCGTCAGAGGTAGAAAAGGGAAGAAAAAACTGCACAAAGAAGTTAAAAAGAAATTTAAGGCTACACAAAATTGAACCAGGGTATAAGGCCACATAACATCTTGATCTCTCCACATATTGAGTAAACGTGATATTCAACAAAATAAGGTGTGAGTAATGTTAAAGAAAAAGAAAAAAATGGCAGAAAGAGCAAGTAGACCTTTGGTTTGCGTATCCAGTCTACAAGGCTATCACAGAAAAGTGCCCTTTTTGGGAATACAGCAATCCCAGCCCTACACAAAGGAGACTCAGAGAAGACAATATTAAGACAAGAGACGTTTCCCCCTGACCTGTACCCATCACTCGAGAAGGTTCACTCCACCAGCTTTCAGGAATTGGGAAGAAGCAAGGCCCTGGAGCCACCTCAAGCCTCACAGCTGGTCTCCCCGGCCTCAGTGCAACGGCCCTCCTGCCAGCTGGGAGATCTCACCTTCTTCTGAAAGAATCTTGTTTATTCCTACCAAGTCCGCCCTCACTCCTCTTCCATCTATCCAAATTCCACCCATCCTGCATGGTCCCATTCAAAATCCCAAGCAGTACAACTGCACCACTCAGAGGGACCCATTCACAAAGACCATGATGTGAATGATGCTCCCTGGGGTTGTACAACATGGCAGCCCCAATCTCAACCCCTCCGGAGGGTAAAGCCTCTCCCATCCATATCACAGCAGAGTGATAGTACCTCTCTCTTTCCTGAATCTATACATGTGTCTTATGGCCTTCCATGGACTGCAAGCTTCTAGAAAGCAGAACACACATTATATATGTCTTCCATACATAAATCAATAATGACACTAACAACAAATGGCACTTAGCAAGTCAGGCCCTGTGCTAAATGTTCTGCACACATTATTTAATTCTCAAAATAATCCTGTGGATAGGAATTATCATCATTTTCCGGTTTTCCAGATGAGGAAGCTGAGTCTTAAAAATGTTAAATTTGCTGGAGGCCACACAGCTAGAAAGAGGCTGAGCCAGAATTCCAATGAGAGTCTGTCAGAATCCAAGGCTAATGTCCTTAAATTATGCCCTACCTCTCACCTAGAAGGTATTTGATAAAACTTGCTTAGTGATGAAACAAGACGCAAAACTGATTCAACCCCTAGCTGGCCCTTTAGTCTTTCCACTTCCTAACTTAGAATAGCTCTCAGGGTGGGAGAGCTATGAGGCAGAGAAATATCATAGTATTCCATCATCCCACACAGATACAATGACGATATGACTCTATCAGGGTGGTACCAAATACAAAATATTCCTGTTTTGTCCTCCTAGGAAGAAGCATACCATGCAAACAGCTTAAAATTATTTTCCATGTTCCTTCTGAATAGCCAGGCCATTTGTGTCTTTACATCTGACCACTGAACTCATCATCAGACCATACACCCTCAAAAATAAACACAATTATAGAAAAGTTGATCTGTTCCACTCTAATATATGTATAATATAACTACTCTTACAACAGAACCTTGGAGCTACAGTCAAAATGAATACTCTCCTCTCCTTTGCCTTCTCCCTCCTACAACCATAGAGATGAAGGCCTTAAGTATAACAGATCCCTATTCTGAAATGAAAATATTAAATTTAGAAAAGTATTAACAAGGTCCCCTATAGAGCTGGTTTCAAACGTTTAATTATATGCATACATACTTTATCACTGTTTCCTAATGAGGTTGGCAAGGAGATAGATTTGGCATTTTATTCTTAGTTTCATGTGCTTGTTTTTATGCTTACTGTAACAGCTTGCTGGGGGTGCACTGGAGAGAGAGTCTGATATGCTTTAAGAGGTGGCAAGGAAAAACAGCTCCCCATGGATGTTCCCCATATGGAAAAAGGCCAGGACTGGAAACATTAGGAAGAAGGGTTATCCAAGGTAAGCAGCACCATTTATAAATGGGGGAAACTTGACTCCAACCTTCTACCTTCCAATAAGATTTTGAGTTTTAAAAACCAGGAGGTGAATGGGCGGGGGAGCCACAGCTGCTTAATCTGAAAGCACCTTCAGTTTCCTTGCAAAAGTTTCCAAGTCAAGGGGAAGAACCAACACCTACCATACAAAGCAAGCTCCAGAGGCTGCTTGGGCACCTGAGAGGCCATGGTACCCCCAGGGCGGAGTCCCAGCTGAGAAAAGTTCTCCTGGTGAAAGAAGCTACTAGGACCCTAAGGCTGAGCCCCTGGCAGGGTGGGAAATCAGCAGCTTATTTGGGAATCTGCCACCTCAAAGCACAGTAAGTGAGGAAGTAGTGAGAGGTGGCAGATGGGAAGGGGTGAGGTGGGGGGCAGAAGCTACACCCAGACAGCTGTGATGTTATAAAAATGTCGCAGCCAAGCGGTGTGGAAACAGGAGTCTTAAGCATCTGATTAACTGAGAAGCAGGTGTGGTAATTTCTGAACTAACTTGAAAAAAAAAATCAAACAACAGCATTACACTCAACTGTTGAGCAGACTGCAATGGGTTGAGAATGAAACCAAAGCCTGAGATGTTAAACCTTGATCTAAGGGTGTCTGTGGCACAGGGCCACGCCAAGGGTAAAACCAGGTTATAATGAATTCCCCATCTGGGACTTTCAAGAAGCTTTCCCTAGAAGAGGATCCAAGACAGATCCACCCGATATTTAAATCCAGCCTTTAACAAAGGCCCTGTTAGACACCAGACTTAGTAATTTGAATCTAAGAAGAGACTCCTAAAAATTCAGATAAACTTGGTTACTTGAACTTCCCCATTATAGCAAAAATAGAAGGAATGTGTAATCTAATCATGCAAGGGGTTTTTAAATTCAGCCAAAATAACTGGCAAATAGGACCATATGAAATTTTCCTTGCAAAAAAAATGGCAAAAACAAAACCCTCCTAACAGAATTGCTTCGTTAGAATTATAACTCCTTACTGTAAACCAGAATTGTACCATTCTATACAACATATTGGTCAATAAAACATAGCTTGACCCATTCAAAATTCTGGTCAAAAAAAGTGGGTCTGGACAAGGGACACTAGTACACTTATGTGAAGTGAGGTTGCAGACATGCAAAAGTCGCATTAATTCCACATGTAGACATTTCAACCATTTTTGAAGGGTGGGCAGAGAACTCAAGAGTAAAGACTGCAGGATTTAAACATTTTAGTAGGAAGATTCACAGAGCTAACAACCAGATAGTCCTTAAGTTCTTGGTTATACCGCATCACTTTGCATGAGGTGGTCTGTGAGATTCTCAAGTCCTATCTGTTTTGTCTCCCTAAATTGACTGCCCACGTTCGGTTTCACTTGAAAACATTGATCTGTATGCAGCCGGTGCTTATTAGGAGGTGTGAGCTGTCTGTTCAATGATTTCTAAGAGTGATGCACTGAGCTAATTTAACCCAAATGGCTTTATAATTCTGTCTCAACCTTCCCTCTTAGGCTGCCTAATTTTTCTAGGGCAGGATAATGGAAATTATTTCAAGAAATGGAAAATGTGTGATTTAAGTAACTCAACTGAGCTGATTTCCCTTGGGGAAAGGACAGCTGACTATTCTCAGAAATTAAATAAGTGGTGTCTCTGACCTCTATTAGTTATTTAAATTTAGAATATCTTTACTAACAAAGAGAAGGTGTTCCAGTCAACGCCAATGAGCATCAGGACCTTCTGCTTTCGGCATACCAAATGATTGAACTCTGTCTGAATCTCCCTCACAGTTGTACTGAGAATTTTCTCTAATGTTCAGCTGACATAGAAAAGTCTGAATCCACTACATGAAAGGTAGTTTAGGAGTGTCTGGAGATAATGAAGGAAAGTGTGAGTTGTTTGAAAGCCAAGTGTTCACACGTGGGAGGCTGTCTCAAAATATGAATTACTTTCTGGCATTCTCCCTTAACTGTTCCCTCCCCAAGCTTTCTCCTCCCGGCATTCTTAACTCACATAAGACCAAGGGACAGGAAGGGCCCACAAAGCCACACCACAAATCGCTGGGAGTCCAGCGGGCACTGTTGGGGCGGGGATGGGGGTGGTGCTAGCCCTGCCCTGGGAGGCCTTTTCCAGCCATATAGCACGCCCCCTTCCCACTCCTCAAGTGCACCCACCCTCCAAATCACTAAAACAGTCCCAAGGAGACCAGACCTTTGCCCAGCTCAGTTGCTTGCATCCCACCCTATCCAACTTTGTCAAAGGCAAAATTGTTTTCTTATAACCAGAGTATATATTTTACCTAAAGTATCCCTAGGGCAATATTTCTTTCTTTTGCCATTCCTAGCACTAACAAAAAGCCCAAAAAAGAAAAACTGAAACCAAAAATTTACTTCCACCACAGATTCTCCTTCCACCAAGAAAGCAAATGTTATGTAGCAGTTGACCACGCCCCCCAAATCAAAAACGAGGCACAAGCTTCCCGAATGTGTGAGAGAAACCAATTTTCACAGTGGCAGCTAACATGGGAAAACACTTTTATTGCAAAATTGAAGAGTGTAGCTCAGCAAATACATGCTAGAATGCTAATGTGAGTAATTACACAGGTGGTTATGCAAACACTGAACTCCTGCTTCAATTTGGCAGAAGTATAAACATTTCTAGGATAGTTTGCAAGGTTCAATTACCTAGATCTGCTGGATAATTTCCTTTACATCTGAAAGAGCTCCCCCAAAGTCAATCATTTTCCAACGGAAAAGCCACTATTAGAAACATGTTCTAGGGAGACAAGAAAAGAGCGCATTTTGTACTAAACTGATTCAACGTGTTTAAATGAGCATCTTACCAGGAGCTGACCTGGGCAGACATGATTATTTTCTTGTGTCCTACACCTTAATTCAAACACATCTTTACTCTTGAAAACATTCATTTATCCGAATAAGACCCATTGAGATCTAATATTAGCCAGGCACTATTCTAAAATACTAGGGGTACAGCAGTGAACAAAATAGGCAAAAGTATGTTACCACACAAAAAGGGGGTTCTCTGTCCAATGCACATAAAAAGCCAATAATGACGCTACCAGCTTTTGAGAAAAGAAAGACTTTATTGCAAGGTCGACCGCAAGGAGACAGGAGTCAAAGCTCTCAATTCTGTCTCCTCCATCCAGGGCTTGGGGCAAAATTTAAGAGGTTAGGAGGAAGAGGCTGGTACGTGGAAGTGCTGGCGGGGCAGGTTTTGATTGGACAGCTTTAAACATTTACAGTAAGGTGTGGAAGGGGCTTTCACACTGGATCTTCCTAGACAAGGGAACCCCAGCTTCTGATAAAAATCTGATAAGTTTCAAGTTCCTGCCATGTCCCAGTCCTTGGGTTCCATGGGGGAGAAGCTTTGGTTCCGGGCGTCATTTCAGGTCAAGATTTTCCCCTCTATGCACACTCTGGCTCCATGACTTGCATTTTTTTGGCTTGCCCCTCAAAAACAGCTTGAACATTCTGGTGATGAAATGCGGGTCAGTTTGAACTGGTCCTAGAGGGCCCAGGGTTACATGCCCTCAGGAGGCTTGCATTCTGATAGGGGGAAATAATACATAGTCACACAAATAAGACATAAGGCATTTTAGAATGCCGACCAAAGTATGATGGAGAAAAATAAAGCAATTAAGGAGAATGGGATGGGGATGGGGTGTTATAATTTTAAATATCAGAGAAGAATACAGGGAAAAGGGTACATTGTGCAAGCACCTGAAGAAAGCGAGGGACCAGGCCAAGCACGGTGGGAATCTTGGGAAAGAGCTTTCCAGGCAGAAGGAACAGCTGATTCAAAGACCCTGAAGGGGCCGGCCCCGTGGCCGAGTGGTTAAGTTCATGTGCTCCGCTTCGATGGCCCAGGGTTTCACCAGTTCAGATCCTGGGCGTGGACACGGCACCGCTCATCAGGCCATGCTGAGGCGGCATCCCACATGCCACAACTAGAAGGACTCACAACTAAAATATACAACTATATACTGGAGGGCTTTGGGGAGAAAAAAAAGGAAAAAAAAAAAGATTGGCAACAATTGTTAGCTCAGGTGCCAATCTTGAGGGAAAAAAAAAAAAAGAAAAAGAAAAAAATGACCCTGAAAAGGGGCATGTCTGGGGGGGTTCAATGATGAACAAAAACATACATTTTGTTAATTGTTTCATAATCTTATTAAAAACTGTATCCTACACAGAGATTTCAAAAGGCTTCATTGTTTTCCAGTACTGGAGTTTTCTCTTAAATATAGAGCATCTGACGCTTCCGTGATCCATAGAAATGCATGTGTTTTGCTTTCCCTCCATCCCTACGTGCACTGATGGCTTCTTGTTTGCAGGGAGTTAGGTCCCAAGGGCTCTGGGAGTATGTTTAGCACCACAGCAACCAAAGCTAGTAGACCAAGTACAGCACTTGGATAGGCTGCAAGTCAAAGATGCCTATATATGGACTTAAGAAATGGGTGCAAGAATCTCTACCTTTATCCCCTATGTTATAACCATTCTCATCATTTGTGCTCGGTGTCAAGGTGGTGAGAGGTCAGCACAGAAAACTCCAAAAATGGTAATATCCCCAAAATAGAGCTGGAGGGAAAAAATAGCCACTCTCTGCACTTTCGAAGTAATAACGTGACCCAATCTTCTTTCTTAAAAGTTACAATTTAAAAAACGAAAAAAGTGGGGGCCAGCCCCGTGGCTGAGTAAAGTTCTGCATGCTCTGCTTTGGCGGCCCTGGGTTCACAGGTTCGGATCCCAGGTGTAGACCTACTCCACTCACCAGCCATGCTGTGGAGGCATCCCACACACAAAGTAGAGGAAGATGACACAGATGTTAGCTGAGAGCTAACTGTCCTCAAGCAAAAAGAAAAAAAGAGGAGGACTGGCAATGGACATTAGCTCAGGGCGAATCTTAGACACACACACATGCATAAGAAATCTTATTTCGAATACAGAGGAGGAGAAAAGGAGAACTGTGAATG